GAATAAGGATGATTTAACAGCCTTTTACAGCTATTTGGATGGAACCATTATCCCAAGTGACGTGCCTAAAAGAAAAACAAACACCACATGTACTCACTATTAAATTGGAACTAACTGATGAGCATATGTGCACAGAGGGAAGTAAAACTCCACGGAAATCAAGAAGGGAGGAGTGGGGAGGAGGGGATGGGTAAAAGACTACCTAACAGGTAGAATGAACACTATCTTGGTGATGGGCACACTTTTAACCCTGACTCAAGCATTACAAAAGCGATCCATTGTCACCAAACATTTGTGCCCCCATAATACTTTGAAATTAAAAGAAAAACGTGCCGCCTGTGCTTTGGGCATCCAGGACCACATGCTGGGGATCAGCCACTGGACAGCATATGAATTCAGTTAAAGGATGGGAACCCTAACACACTGCCTCAATTCATATCAAATAGAAACAATGCCTAATTCTGCTTTCCCAAGCTTCCAGAATTTTGCTTTTTCTGAATGGAGTGATCTATAAGATGGCAGACACTTGGAATAGTAAGTCAGGTAGGAATCAGAAACAGGAAGGGGGCAGATTAGGAATTAGTCACCAAACATTAGATAGTCTCTTCTGATTCTAGACCTCAATTTGACAATCGTCTATTTTAGTCCACAATTTTTCTTGCTTGATGAAGTGATAGACAACATAAATTTCATGGAACTCACTATGGAACACCATGAAATAATAATATGTTAAACTTAAAAGAGATCAGCACATAATTTCTAGCTGGATCTGGGACCCATATTAATAATTGCTAACAATAATGAGTGTGGGCCAGGCACCAGGCTCTGTGTTAAATGCATTATCTCGTGTAATTCTTACAACACCTTCAATTAAGATAGGTACTATAATTATGGTGGGCCCATTTTACAGATGAGAAAAGTGAGATTAAGAGAGGCCATGTGACTTACCGGATTTACCAAGTGGTCATGGCAGAACAGGCCCCCAAGCAAACTGATTCAGCAACCTCTATTCCTACATCAGATGTTCATACAGCCAAAAAATAATGCAGAAAGTCAACCCATCAACTTAATTCTCCTGCCCTCAGTGGAGTGTGTGCAAGCATTTATTTTCTCTGAAAGGATTAGTTGAGACTTTACTGTGGGCCAGACCTGATTCCTGGCCTTGTTACATTCACAGTCTCATGGAGAAGGGAAAATGGTGGCCTCTTCACTGACAGGTAGAAAAGGCCACAGTTAATCCATTGTAGCCAGCAATCGCACCCTGACCACCAACATTTATGTTTCAGAACAACTTAATTACAGGCTTGTTCTGGCCCCATACTTTTTTGACTCCATAAGGTGATCATAGGTAAGGGAAGGCTCCACAGAGAAAATGGGGGTTTATCTGGGTCTAGAAGGGAAGGTAGCTCCCTGACAAATTAAGAAGAGGCAGTAAGGCTGGGAAATCCACGCACCAAAGTGCTGAGGTGGGAACTTGTGTGTCACTCAGAGGGACCGTGAATAGACCTGTTTCTCTCAAGTGCAGAGTTGGTGGGAAACAGAGTGAGATAAGGTAGAGGCTAGATGAATGAGAGCTTGGAATTCCAGGCTTGTGAGCTGGAGCTGCATCTTTGGCCATTGGGGGCCACCGAAGAATTTTAAATGAAGAGGAAAATTAATCAGTGTGCAGGGTTAAATGCAGTGGGAAAGAGGAGGGGCTGTTAGGAGTCTACTGTGAGATGATGCTAGCAGCTACATGTAGTGGGTAAAAGAGGAAAGAGAGCTGCTAAGGGAAGCCGGAGACCAAGCTGAATACATGGGAATAACATCAGAAGAGTGTGAGGTGACCCCTGGGACTCTCAACTTTAGCATGGTTGACTACTGGGGTCCCACAACGTTCTGCTGTGGGAGCCCTTGGGGGCATTGTAGAACACTGGGCCGCATCCCTGGCCTCTACCCACTAAATGCCAGTAGTAAGCCCTTTGTAACAACCCAAAATGTCTCCAGACGTTGCCAAACGTCCCCTGGGAGCACAGCTGCCTCTGATTGAGACCTACAGATTTATGGAAATCAAAAGAATGGTCATTTCCAGAAGTCTGACAGCAAGCAACAAAGTCAAAAAGGAAAATGGGGACTAGGCCATTGGCTTTGGTGATTGAAGGTCACTAGATATCTTCAAGAAAGCACCTTCTATAATGAAGTCCATTTAAAAGGAGTTACAAAGGAAACACAATTTTAAAATGACAGCAACCAGGGGTGAGCTGCTCTCAGAAAGTCTGGCTTTGAAAAGAAAGTCAGAAGCCACAGTTTGGGATGTCTATTACTCCATAAAGGAAATAGGCTCCTAGTCCACCATCTTCCAAATGAAGATTGAAGATTTAAAACCAAAAGTTTCTCCCCACGGGTCTCCTTTGCAGTCCCTTATACCTCCAACCCAGCAAGGGCCCATACTGGGGACAGATGTTGCCCAAAAGGACCATAGCCAAGACAGGCCAGTGAGCCAAAGTGTGGAAATTTTTGAGCTAGGCTTGGGTTTGGCACTTACAGGACAATAAACCAAGCCTTTGAAGAGGTTCAACAAAGGAACCATTTGTCCACTCTAGTAGCTACAAAGTAAGGCAGGATTACAGTGAAGGACTAAGAAATAAAAGGAGAAAGCCAAGCCGGAGATGCGACCAGAGTTCACTGGGTCCAGCCCAGGACCCTCCACCAGGATCTGCAGTCTAGAAGACAGTGGGTAAGCAAACCACCCAAGGCACTCCATGCAGCACACAGGAAGTGTAGGCTCTCAGGTTTTATGTTAAAAACATCTACTAATTTTTTTTTTTCCTTTTCAGCTCCTTTAATTTATGCAGTACGTTAGAAGCTGGGAGAGGAAGGGACAATATTAACCAAAAAAAAAAAAAAAGAAGAAGCAGCATTCTTTAAAATGCACAAGGATTATCTTCACTACCGTTTTTGTTATCATTGCTATGAATTAATGACACAGAATTTTATTTCCTTGTCTGCTTTCCTTTGTTCCTCTCATTGGGACACATGGTTGGCATTAAAATGCTTGTGAGACCTTCTCTTCCTTTAACATTCCGTGGCTGGCTTGGTTTTTAATCTAACGGCCCTTCTTTCAAAATGATCTTTGTACTCAAGATATGTATTTATCATTCTCCTCCCTCGCCTCGCTCCTTGACAGACCTCACATGACTCGAAGGGAATTTGAAACAACAGCCCAGTCTTCCTGAGGGGCTTTCTGCTTCACCCCTAACTTGAAGCTAACTTTTTGATCACCGGGTCGTCCAGCGTCTTCCCATATTAGTGACTGCTCTTATGGGTAGAGCATCAACTCAGTGGGAAACTTTCTGAGCGGCAGGGGAAGAGATATTCTAAGAAGGTGAGGGGAGAAACTGGTGTTATTTTATATAAGTCACACTTTCTGAATCTGCCCTTTTGTGTCTCTGGGAAGAAAGCAGAAAGTTTGGGTCAAATTGCTCATTCTTGCTGCACTTTTTTTCTTTGTTCCTACATACAAAAGCGGCATGACTACTACTGTGAGGATATGCGCTGGTGACAATTAAGGACTCGTATTTGTGCCCTCCTGTAGGAGGGGATGCTTCCTCCAGTCACACCGCATTCTCCTCTGTGAGGCAATACTGTCACACTGTTTCCCTGGAGTCCCAGTCCTGTGAGGGAAAACAGAGCTGCCCTCAGGACACCTGCCTCTTCTTAGAAGCCCAGTCCACCTCCAGCAGCACCCTGCAAAAAGAGGGAGAGCCATCCCAGAACGGTGCCCTGGAGCGATAAACTAGGGGTGATCACTCAGAAGACACCTTCCTCCGTCTTCCAAGAGGGAATTTGGAGTTGAAAGACCAAGGGTGTCCCTTAGGAGGTCTCTTTAAAAGATAAATTCCAACAACTACCTCTGAGTGGTCGAGATTAAGAAACACTTTTTTTCTTATTCCTTTCCTTTTCTATTTTATAATTTATTTCCACAATGAACATATGTCACTTTGGTAATCACAAATGATGTTTTTAGTTGTAATCTCCTCAGCCATTTCTCACCCCACCAAGTGTCTGTTCTAGGTCAAATATGCCTTTAAAATTACTAAAGAGGCCGGGCGTGCGGGCTCACGCCTGTAATCCTAGCACTCTGGGAGGCCCAGGCAGGAGGATCACTCGAGGTCAGGAGTTCGAGACCACCCTGAGCAAGAGTGAGACCCCATCTCTACTAAAAATAGAAAGAAATTAATTGGCCAACTAAAAATATAGAAAAAATTAGCCGGGCATGGTGGCACATGCCTGTAGTCCCAGCTACTCAGGAGGCTGAGGCAGGAGGTTCACTTGAGGCCAGGAGTTTGAGGTTGCTGTGAGCTAGGCTGACACCAGGCACTCTACCCCAGGCAACAGAGTGAGACTCTGTCTCAAAAAAAAAAAAAAATTACTAAAGGAAAGGCATTACGTCCTTTACCACCATCACTGAGATCTGATTTTTGTTTCCTTGCATGTAAAATGGAGATGGCCCCCGCCTTGTCTGGAGGCATGAAACAACTCCAAGCTGTCACTTGAAAGTGGCATTCCAGGTGATGTCACCAGCCTTGGTGGAGAGTGAGCTTGAGTCCTGAGCCCATAGAAACTGTATCTGTCTGGGGGTCACGGCCCTACATCAGGTTGGCATAATCTGGGAGTCAGACCTGAAGATTTCCTATTTTATGGCATCTTTAGCAACTTTCAAAACCACCCTCTGGGATAAAGCTAGACCCACTTTTGTTTTTGCCGTTGTTGTTTGTTTGTTGTTGGTTTGCATTTTCTGTTGGGAGGTAGAAGGATTGCCTCAGTGGAGACCACTTATTTAGCCTCTATCAGAGTAACACCAAAAGGGCCAGATTCCTGGGAAATCTCCCTAAGAGGCTCTTCCAGGAAGGACCCTCCACTGCCAAACTTCCAGAGGGCCTCTCCGGGTGATCAGAGACCCTCAAGGAAACTTTCCACAATAAATACTGGAAATGTCCACCACACAAGATGCATGCTAGACAAATTTCCTTCACATTTACTTTGACTTCTGTTGCAGTCTTTTTAGTATTGAAATGTTTTATAAAATGGTCCTGAGCGTTCACATGTTTTCAATGGGATCTCAAACACCCCTCTTCACTATCAAAACGTGTTTATTATTCATCAGCCCAATTTTTAATTAAAAAAAATAATAAAGCCAAATATCCTCTACCTTCCACCGTCTCCCCTTCCCCACTAAATCCAGTGTCTTGCTGCAAACTTGGTGATTAATTTAAAGGGTGGTTAAAAGTTGTGTGGGCTACAACTTGTTTTGCTGCTTTAGAGTTTTGTTGGAAATTTTTTTCGTAGAGGTACTTGTGAATTATTTCACGTTTCCCATAAATAGCACCGGTTCTCCATAGGGTGATGTTGACTGCCAATAAGTAGTGATGGGTTAATCTTCACCATCTCCTATGCGGTTGAATAAACACCTCTGAACCATTTTTTCCCCCAGCAATTCCTCTTCCCTGGGCTCCTCTGCAGTCTGCCTGAAAGAATCAAAAGGAGGTGGTTGGAAACTCGTTTTAAGTAGCCGCGGGTCTTCCCCTGCTGGAAACCCTACGCTGCGACTGCCCTGCCCCCACCCGACCTCCGCCCTCGCTGGCATCCGGACTCGGTGATCCCTGCGACCAGTAGAGGGCACACTTACTTTACTTTCAAAAACTCCAACGCGAGCGCTGCCCAGAAAGAGGGCGGGGGGAAAAGGCGCTTTGCAGCAAAATCCAGTTTAGGGATTGGTCGCTACCGCGTTTGCGGCAAAGGCCCAGAGGTTGGAGTAATTTGCAATCCTTAAAGCTGAATTGTGCAGTGCGTCTAATTTGGGGGAAGTTACTACTCATTTAACAATTGAACGCTGAGCTGCAAATTCAACGGGTAACAAATTCTCCTGAACAGTGTACATGCTGTACTTGCTCCCTTTCTCCCAGGATTTTTTCTTTTTTTGGGGGGGGGGAGGGGAAATGAGAAAAGTTTACTTAAAATGCGTTTGGGTGAGGGACTAAGAATGAGAAGATTGTCTTTGTTTTTGATGCCGTGGAATGACACAAAATAGCAAATCCCGAGGGTATATATTAAATATTGATCCACTCGGGGAGCGAACAAGTCATGTGTCAGGTTGGGCAACTAGCTAGGTCGAAATGTAAATGAAATATGAATATATGTGCGTGGATTATATAGAATGCACTTTCTATGGTACTCAAGAAAAAAATTTAGAGTCAGTAAACTAGGAAATTAATGCCTGAAATGCAGCCAATTTTTAATTAGCTCAGGACCCCCCCAGAAAAGGCATGGAAGTAGTACTCCTCTCCTTTGATGAGAATCGATGCATTTTTTGTGCATGACTACGGTTGCAATAATAAAAGGGAGAAAGAGGATCTGTAAAGGAATTAAACGTCTGTTTGTCCTGGGAGGAAAGAGTTAACGGTTTTCTTTACAAGGGTCACTGCTGATTCCCCAGGCCTGGTCCGCAAGCCCACCCCCTCCCCACTTCTGGGAAGTCGGGTCCCCGGGTTCGGGTCCCCCCTGCCCCGCCCACATTCTCCCGTCTAGCGCCTTTGATTTTCCCCAAACCCGGGAGCCCGAGACTGGTGCAAACCGGCGCCACAGGGCGCAAAGAGGATTTGTCTCTTCTGAAACCTGGCTGCGGAACTGGGAACTCCGTGTGAGAGGGGCGGGGGTGGGACAGGGGTGCAGAGTGGCAGAGAGCGGGCAACCGTGCTCCTCCTCTCCCCCTGCTCGGGAAGTAGCAAAAAGATCTCGGGGATTAGCGCGTCCTGAAGGAACAGCCGCCTCCCGCTCGGGGCCCCTCGCCGGCGCGGGCGGGGCGGGGGTGGGGGGCGGTATCTGCTGCTTTGGCAGCAAATTGGGGGATTCATTCTGAGTGGAAGGTGCCCAATCCAGATAGCTGTACCTACATAATGCATAATTCATTAACCACCCCCCCCCAACAAATTCAGTGGGAGTTTATTCGTTACGCGCTCTCCAAGTATACGTGGCAACGCGTTGCTGAGTTATTTTAATCATTCTAGGCATCATTTTCCTCCTTAGACCTCTATCATGTGCTCCGTCTACACTGACACCCTGCATACTCAGCGCGCCCGGTAAAACCCTTCTTTCCTCCACTCTTCACGGGACTCGTTTTCAAAGCGCTGCCCTTTCCCCAGCCTTGGGGAGGCGCCCGGCCGCCTGGGTCGTGCGTGGCGCGGCCGTGGGTGCGCGGCGCCCTCGCAGTGTGCAGGCCAGCTGTTCCGCCTGCGACGACTGAAGCACGCAGGACGGGAATGCGGTTCGCCACTCGGAGCGCTGCGCCAGAGACGCAGCAGAGAAAGGGAGAGGGCTCGAGCGAGAGCAAAAGAAAATGGTAGGCGCGCGCAGTCAATCCGTGCGGCCGCCGCTCTGTTTACATCCGATCGCTGGAGTGCAGGGCCGCCGGGCGCGCTCTCCTCCTCCCCTCCCCCGAGGCGCCCCTCCCGAGTTCCCAAAGCGGAGGGCGGGGGAAGCAGAACAGAGATCCTCGCGCGCGCGAATCCCCGCCCACCACCCCTTTATAATGCGAGGGTCCGCGCGGCTGAGGACCCCTGAGCCGAGCCGCTCCGGCCGCCGCCTCCGCCGGGCCCGGCCGCCCCTGGCTCCCCTCCTTCCTCGAGAAGGGCAGGGCTTTTCAGAGGCTTGGCGGGAAAACGAGCGGAGGGAGGGAGTACGAAAGCCCAGGGCGTATAAAAGCCGGTTCTTGGTGCTTTATCTGACTCGCTGTAGTAATTCCAGCGAGAGGCAGAGGGAGCGAGCGGGCGGGCCAGCGAGGGTAGAAGAGCCGAGCGAGCCGAGCCGCGCTCCGGGCGAGCGGGGACGCGAGAACCGGAGTGAAAAGAGGGGCTTCGCCTCGGGCCCAGCAGCCCCTCCCCAGCCCTCCCGCTGACTCCCCGCCAGCGGCCCGCCACCCTCGCCGCAGCCACGAAACTTTGCCCATAGCGGCGGGTGGGCACTTTGCACTGGAACTTACAACACCCGAGCAAGGACGCGACTCTGCGGACGCGGGGAGGCTATTTCGCCTATTTGGGGATACTTTTCCCCGGCGCTGCCCAGGCTCCTCTGAAAGGCGCTCCTTGCCGCCGTTTGGACGCTGGATTTCCTTCGGGTAGTGGAAAACCCGGTAAGCACCGGGATCCATTTGTCTTTTATTCTCTCTACTGCTTTATGCTGAAATGAGTCGAATGCCCAAATTGGGGTGTCTTTTCTCCCATTCCTGCGCTATTGACACTTAGTTCTCAGAGTAGTTGTGGTAGGTCGGGGTAAGGTTGGGGTGATCCAGAACTGGATCAGGGTAGAGTGACTTGTCAAGATGCGAGAGAAGGCAGAGGGAAAACGGGGGTGCGTTCTGAAAAGTAGCCTTTACAGATTTTTGCCAATTGTGTAGGACGCTGACCCCCGGCCGGTCGGACATTCCTGCTTTATTGCATTAATTGCTGTTTGGGTTGTGGAGGTGGCTGCTTCGCGGTGGGCAGAAAGCCCTTGGCATCCCGAGCTCCTTGGAATATGGATTACATATTATTGCGTGTGTGAGCGGGCGAGCTCCGCGGCAGCTGACTTTTCCCCGTCTCCGGGAGGGCATTTAAATTTCGGCTTACCGCATTTCTGACAGCCGGAGACAGACCCTGCGGCGCGTCCCGCCCGCCGGCCCCCGCGGCGATTCTAGCTCGCCCCTGCCCTGCTCCTTTTTAAAAGTTGGCATATGGCATTTTAAAAGAATAATAAAATTAAAAGCCTTGGTCTCCAGAGGTGTTAGGACTTGATGTTGGGGAGGCGCAGGGAGGGGAAAGGGAAAGCTGGGATGTGTCTGATTCTCCTGGAATCGTCGACTTGGAAAAAACCGGGACGAATCTCCGCACCCAGCCTTGACTCCCCGGCTGCCGCCGCCCTCGGGTGTCCCTACGCCCCCCGAGATGCGGAGAGACAGCGAGGAGCGGGGCTCGGGTAGGTTCCAGAACAGCTGCTACCCTCAGCGGGGTGGGGAAGACTCCCGGCTCCGGGCGAGGAATCGCAGCGGGGTCTCTGGCGCAGTGGCGTCGCTGTATTGAGTGTGGAAGGGAGGTGCCCCTGTTATTATTTAACACCCCCCTTTTATTTATGGGGGGGCGTTAAAGCCAGCGGCTGAGCTCGCCACCCCAGCGGGTGAGAGAAAAGAAGAAAAGCCGGCAAAGGAAGGAAGGGGGGCGCGCTGGGGTGGGGATGGAGGAGGCGGAGGGGGGAGGCTGGGAGGGGCGGTGGCGCCGGCTGGGGTAGGAGCGCGGCGAGGGCGCGAGTGGGGACGGGCACGGCAGCGCAGAGGGGCCCCGGCGCGGGAGGGAGCGGCGCGCAGCTGCTAGCGGCGCCTCTCGCCTTCTCCTTCAGGTGGCGCAAAACTTTGCGCCTTCGGTTTGGCAAATGGTATTCCTCACCGCCGCCTCCCGCAGCTTCTTAAGGAGGGCAAGGCCGATTTCGATTCCACCGCAGCTGCGGGGCCAACTCCCGGGCTTTGCGCCCCGAGCTCCGGGGAGGCGGGGGCTCGGCTGGCACTACACAGCTGGTTCACCAAGTGCGTGTCCAAGATAGCGGGGGGGTTGCCCAAAGGAGGTGAAAGGGGGGTACCCTTTTTTTGTTGTCCCCCCTACCCGGCCCCTTTGCGGGATAGCTCTGGAAGGGGAGTGGTTAGGAATTGTGGAGCGCACTGGGCGCTGCCCCAGGTTTTGTCACCAACAATACCCCCTTCACTCAAGGCTGTTCCCCCTTTGTGTGCCCCCTTCTGCAGGCTGCCGCGACGATGCCCCTCAACGTCAGCTTCGCCAACAGAAACTATGACCTCGACTACGACTCGGTGCAGCCGTATTTCTACTGCGATGAGGAGGAGAACTTCTACCAGCACCAGCAGCAGAGCGAGCTGCAGCCGCCGGCGCCCAGCGAGGATATCTGGAAGAAATTCGAGCTGCTGCCCACCCCGCCCTTGTCCCCGAGCCGCCGCTCCTACGTTGCGGTCGCCGCGTCCTTCTCCCCCAGGGGAGACGACGACGGCGGCGGCGGCGGGAGCTTCTCCACGGCCGACCAGCTGGAGATGGTGACCGAGCTGCTGGGAGGAGACATGGTGAACCAGAGCTTCATCTGCGACCCGGACGACGAGACCTTCATCAAAAACATCATCATCCAGGACTGTATGTGGAGCGGCTTCTCGGCCGCCGCCAAGCTGGTGTCGGAGAAGCTGGCCTCCTACCAGGCTGCGCGCAAAGACAGCGGCAGCCCGAGCCCCGCCCGCGGGCCCAGCGGCTGCTCCACCTCCAGCTTGTACCTGCAGGACCTGAGCGCCGCCGCCTCCGAGTGCATCGACCCCTCCGTGGTCTTCCCCTACCCGCTCCATGACAGCAGCTCCCCCAAGCCCTGCGCCTCACCTGACTCCACCGCCTTCTCCTCGTCCTCGGACTCTCTGCTCTCCTCCACCGAGTCCTCCCCGCGGGCCAGCCCCGAGCCCCTGGCGCTTCACGAGGAAACACCACCCACCACCAGCAGCGACTCTGGTAAGCTGGGTCTCTCCTGACCTGTCAAAAGGGGGCGGGCTGCTGGATATCTGTGCTCTTGGCGGCTAATTCAACTGGCCACTCCTGTCGACACTGCCTTTCTCTCTTTTCCTTATATTTGGAGGAAGAAAAGGCAGAAATGGAAAGTTCTGGGTACTCATCATCTCTGCAACCCTGGGCTTTAGAGGTCCCCTTAGATCCCCCTAGTTGCCAGCCCCCCCCCACACCCCATTCAGGAATTTCATTTGGGTTTTTAAATCTTCTGGCTTATCTTGCCAACTCAATCCACTCCCCCTTACCTATCTTAAGCATTTTAATTGCTCTGAGGGTGAGGGGAGGTTGTGAATGAGGATAAGGGAGCATTGATCTCTAAGAGAGTGAATGAACTGCCTCCCTCTTCCCCTAACTCCTGAGAAGTGGTTGGAATTTAATGAGCTGGGCATCTACAAAAATGGGGGCTGTGGACAGGGGCAGGGCTGCGGGAGTGCAGGAGCCAGTAAAAGTGCCTGGAGACTGGATAGGCTGAGGAACTGGGATCTTCTCAGCCTATTTTTAAACGCTTAAAATCAAATCCTTGCCTTGGCAAAGTTGAATTTCTTTTTTCCTTCCTCCATTCTCCAGGACTTTTGGCAAAGCTGAAAGATCTTTTTCTATTTTACTTTATTTTGCATTCCCAGTAACAGGGAGTTGCTAAAGTTATACCAAGCGATTTACAGCTATCATTTGCAACATTGAAGCGTTCTTGGTAAAGTCCCTTAAAAATAGGAGGTGCTTGGGAAAGTGCTTGACTTTGGGTGTGCCCAAAGCCTCATTAAGTCTTAGGTAAGAATTGGCATCAGTGCCGTGTCCTGGTAAATTGTAATTTTCTTGCCTGTGCCACAGCCCCAGCTGTCATCCTCCCCCCTTTTATGAGACCACCTTTGTTGGGGAGAGGAATAAGGGGGCTTGGCTAGATTTGGTCCTTTGAGGAGATAGTCTTGTCCAGAGCCCTTTCTAACAGACTGATGTCTTATATTTGAGCGGCATTAATTTAATCTGGTTATTGACCCTTTAAAGAAACCTTGCTAACCAGGTGATTTCTATTTCCTTTCTTAAAGAGGAAGAACAGGAGGATGAGGAAGAAATCGATGTCGTCTCTGTGGAAAAGAGGCAGCCCCCTGCCAAAAGGTCAGAATCGGGGTCACCTTCTGGCGGAGGCCACAGCAGACCTCCTCACAGCCCGCTAGTCCTCAAGCGGTGCCATGTCTCCACCCATCAGCACAATTACGCAGCGCCCCCCTCCACCAGGAAGGACTATCCCGCTGCCAAGAGGGCCAAGTTGGACAGTGTCAGAGTCCTGAGACAGATCAGCAACAACCGGAAATGCACCAGCCCCAGGTCCTCGGACACCGAGGAGAATGACAAGAGGCGGACACACAACGTCCTGGAGCGCCAGAGGAGGAACGAGCTGAAACGGAGCTTTTTTGCCCTGCGTGACCAGATCCCAGAGTTGGAAAACAACGAAAAAGCCCCCAAGGTAGTTATCCTTAAAAAAGCCACTGCATACATCCTGTCCATCCAAGCAGAGGAGCAAAAGCTCATTTCAGAAAAGGACTCCTTGAGGAAGCGCCGAGAACAGTTGAAACACAAACTTGAACAGCTGCGGAACTCTTGTGCATAAGCGGACCTGTTGGAGGAAGGAACTGGAATGGCTCACGAATTCTCGCTTGTCACAAAGGGAAAGTAAGGAAAAAGGTTCCTTCCAACAGAACTGGCGCGATTTATTACCTATGAACCTATTTCAAATGCATGATCAGATGCAACCTCACAACCTTGGCTGGGTCTTAGGACTGAAAGGCTTAGCCATAATGTAAACTGCCTCAAATGGGACTTTGGGCATAAAAGAACTTTTTTTATGCTTGCCATCTTTTTTTTGTTTTTTCCTTTAACAGATTTGTATTTAAGAATTGTTTTTAAAAGATTCTAAGGTTTACCCAATTTTTCTGTGTAAATATGGCCATTAAATGTAAATAACTTTAATAAAACGTTTATAGCAGTTATACAAGATTTCAAACCATGTATTATAAAACCATAATTTTTTTATTTAAGTACATTTTCCTTTTTAAAGTTGATTTTTTTTCTATTGTTTTTAGAAAAAATAAAATACCTGGCAAATATATAATTGAGCCAAATCTTAAGTTGTGAGTGGTTTCTTTGCTTCCTCTCCCTCTCTCCCCCCATTTTCTTTTCACCAATTACAAATTAACAGAATTGACCCTTAAGAGAATGAGTTTCAAAAGAGGGGGAAAGTTGTTTTTAAAAAAGGTAAGGGTTTTTCTTTGTTGAGATAGGTCTGGGGGCCTTAAGGCCTTTAAGTTCTCAGGGGTTATAAGATGCTTCCTGGAGATTGTGATAAGAGCCAGAGTTGATAGTGGAAAAAAAAGGAAGGGGCAGAAGGCTGGTGAGAAGGTTAGAGGTAGGGAGAGGAGATGCCAGAGGTTAAAGATAACAGTTAAGTACACAGAGGGTAAGGACTGGGGGGTCGGGAGAAGGTGAAGAAGGAACTCTTCTTCAGTATAGTTCACCAGTGCCAGTCCCCTGTTCAGTTCAAACCCAGCCTTTCTGCCCAGTGAGAAAGCTAATGAGAAAAGAGTAGAAACCAACTTCTGCCCTTTGCCTACTGCTACCAGGCACCAGCTTCTTTATGTGGTTATCTCATGAGCCTCAGAGGAGCTCTGGGAGGAATGTTACTATTAGCCCTAGTTTACAAATGAGGAAACACAAAAGCTCAGAGTGGTTACATAACTTATCTGCAGCCATACAGATAATAAGCAGAATCCAGGTCCCATGTCTCTTGAAAACACTTAACCCTTCTCACTCATGCCTTAGCTCATCTGGGTTCTAAAGTGCTGAGATTAAGAAGGCTTTGGCTTTGGAGCCTGATGGACTCGAGTAATAACAATTTTAAACTCTTATTTGTGTGCCGGGTACTCTTCTTCTAAGCATTTTATTTCTAAGTCTGCAGCAACTCCATGAAGGAGGTACTGTTGATTTCCCGGTATTACAGAGGGGGAAACTGAGGCACAGAAAGACTTATCCCCAGGGTGAACTGATAAGAAATTAGAACTGGGATTCAAGCCCAGCCTGTCTACCTCTATCTTACCTGTCCTAGCTCACTTCTCAACAAGCCAGTAGGAATAAGCCAGCCACTCCCCAGTACAGGACAGGAGTCACAGTTCAGTGAGTTACGTAGTTTAAGTCTCAACATCTAGGCCTGGTCAGACATCAGTTCCCTTTTTTTGTTGTTTATTTTGTTTTTTATTTTGTTGTTCACTGTTTAATTTTTTCCTTTCACATTGAGTAGGTCACCGCTCATTCACTCCTACCTTTGCCATTTATTAAATCAGATTCACTGGTTGCTCCTGGGAAGAAGCCAGTTTGGAAATGCTACTGTTCAGATCGTAAAACAAAACATACCCTTTGTCGTGTGAGTCATGATTTTAGAAACTACAAACTCTCCTTCCTTCCAACCTCTTTCACACACTCATGACACATGCTCATTATTAGCCCATGAAAAGGCATTTTTGAATATATGTATTAATTATAAGCCTCTAATAGCCCATGGCTCAAACCAGAAATGACATTGACTACATAGGTAAATGGAAGTTACTATTACTGTTCTAATTACTTCATTGTCTTGATCTCAGAGTTGGTCTTCAGCTCCCTGTGCTTTCTTTGGGATTTTTAATCCACCACCACCCATAGATCAATAAATAATTACTATCTTTGGCTCTGACTCCTAGAATAATCTATTCAAAGCTTTAATGTCTTTTTCTTCTTCCTTCTTTTGAGTCTCAAGCCCCATCCTCACAGCTTCAAGCTGTCTTGCCAAATTCCCTAAATTCAAAGGGAGATAAAATCAATAGAAGTTAAGTAGTCCAGAGTGTTACAAAAGTGGGGGCGCTCTTAAATGGTTCACTCTTTGCCCCTTTGAGAACCACAGCTGGAGTGCAGCCCTGAAATGACTCACTTGGGAACCGGGAAGGTGTTAGTCTCAATCACTATGTCCGGGCAAGCCCTCGGAATAGAGTGTTCCTCGCTAGGAAAACAACTCCCAATTCCAAATGATCAGGAAAGAACTTTAGGGATGCAGAGGTTGGCTGTGGGAATAGAAGGAAACCATTCCAATTACCTATTAGGCCACCTCTTACCTTTACTCTGCCAGGGAATGGCTCTGAAAACAGGACTGACGCCAACTTCCTTCCAGAAAGTCAGGCTGATCTTACAATACAAATGGGCCCCCTCAGAGCCAATGCAGAGAGTCCCAGGGGTCTACCCCATTGTGTAATCTATTTTTGGAGATGGAAGGGAGGAGCTTGCAGTTTAGTCACGGATATATAAGAAGGAATAAGGTCTGGCCGGGCGCGGTGGCTCACGCCTGTAATCCTAGCACTTTGGGAGGCCGAGGCGGGCGGATTGCTCAAGGTCAGGAGTTCGAAACCAGCCTGAGTGAGACCCTGTCTCTACCAAAAATAGAAATAAATTAATTGACCAACTAAAAATATATATACAAAAAATTAGCTGGGCATGGTGGCGCATGCCTGTAGTCCCAGCTACTCGGGAGGCTGAGGCAGTAGGATCGCTGAGCCCCAGAGATTGAGGTTGCTGTGAGCCAGGCTGACGCCACGGCACTCACTCTAGCCTGGGCAACAAAGTGAGACTCTGTCTCAAAAAAAAAAAAAAAAAAAGGAATAAGGTAATACTGACTATGCCTTTTACCCATGACAATGTTCAGGAATTAACGACTTCTAGGGGATTCCTGGGATGGTTGTGTTTAGGGATGGAATGCATAGAATAAGGAAGTGTTATTTTCTGCTGGCATTTGGAAGCAACAAAGGCAATCAAGATTATAAATGTAATCAATCAAATTTTAAAATGAATAGTTTTCACAATCCCAGCCTAATATGTAGACTATTCACAGCTTGGGCATGTAAGTAGATTTCTCTGTTGGTCTTTAAGACAAACTCTGGCACAAAGCTTGGGAAAGAGGACAGAAAAATGCATTAGGGGGGCTCCTGTGGTTTGTTTGCAATAACATATGATTGGCTCAGTCAATAATTATATTTTAGTACACACACTAAAGGCCCCTGAAGCATTTCCTCCCAACAATAAATAATACTTAGGACAGAAAATGCTAAAGGATATCCTTCAACCCTGTCCATAAATGGACTGTGAGGCAGCTTTACAGAAGACTCTTCCTTTAAGGTTACAAACCACTATAGGCCTTTTTCAATTTTTTGAATTATTTTTCAATTTTTTTATTTTATCATAGCTCACTGCAACCTCAGAATCCTAGGTTTAAGTGATCCTCCTGTCTCAGCCTCCTCCTAATTTTTCTATTACCTAGGCTGGTCTTGAAATCTTGACCTCAAGCAATCCTGCTGCCTCAGCCTCCCAGAGTGCTAGGATTACAGGCATGAGTCACTGCACTCCACCCATATGGGCCCATTTTAAAGGAGAAGAACTGTAGAAACAAAGCCAACAGAATAGGAACACGGACTCATTGAAAAAATAAAACTAAGAAGACTCTATAACTCATCTCCAAAGACTTAGCAATAACCCTTCTTTGTTCTACCTCCATGAGAAAACTTAAGACAACCTGTAAATTTAGAGGAAAACAACTAGGAATGCTGTCTTTGCCAAAGGCTTGAGGTGACTCTAGATGACTCTGAGTTTATTTCACTCTTAATTTTATTTCATTCAATATTAGTCTACACTAAGCTCTTTAGGAAGACTGAGTTGAGGGAAATAAGTGTTAATGGGATGTAGATCTTCTGAGGTTGAAAGGAATGTTCTTTGTTTTTAAACAATGCCTGGGAGCCCAGCCACAATCCCCAACACTTTCTTTCCATTGTCACCCCTTCAGCACATTAAGGGGTAAAACACTCCAGTGTAGTCCAAGGTCTGTGGGGGTGGGAAAGGAGAGAGCTCAGGGAGAGAAAATGAACTTTTTTTCTTTCTTTGGACACAGAATCTCGATATGTTGCCTGGGCTAGAGTGCAGTGGCGTCGTGATAGCTCACTGCAACCTCAAACTCCTGGCCTCAAGTGATGCTCTCGTCTCAACCTCCCAAGGTGCTGGGACTACAGGCATGTGTCACCATGCCTGGCTGATATTTCTATTTTTTATTTTTTTATTTTTTTTTAGTAGAGACTGGATTCACTGCGTTACTCAGGCTGGTCTCAAACTCCTGGCTCAAGAAATCCTCCTGCCTTGGCTTCCCAAAGTGCTAGGATTACAGGCATGAGCCATCACACCCAGCTGAGAATAAACCACTGTTACATACCTACTATCTTCCAGACCCTCCATCTCACTGAACCCCCTCAGCAGCCCAGCTGGAGAACAGTTGTTGAATGTGGCAGTCCAGAAGTGAAATAGCTGGCCCCAAGTCACAAAAGTACCAACAATATAACAACAATAATAGTAGTAAATGTTTATATGTGCTAAACACTTTACATGCATTATCTTATTTCATCCCCAAAGCAACTCTTAGGAGGTAAATCCTATTTCTTTTTTTTTTTTTTTTTTTTTTTTTTTTTTTTTTTTT